CAGGTATCATCGCCATGTTCATCATCATCGTGTTCATCATCAGCATCATCATTTGCATCATCATGTTCCTCATCGTGTGCAGCGGCGCTCTTCTTTTTTTCTGTGTGTTTCAAGTAGTGATGACGTTGACCGCTGGTGAGGATGCGTAGTGATAATTATTATCATCGGGAAGCACGAGGATGATGATGATGATAGTGATGATCATGATGAACATGCTGATGAAAGTGATGATGGTGGTGTTCATCGTCATCAGGAGGTACATCATCATCATCATCATCATCATGTTCATCATCATCATCATCATCTGCATCATCATCCTCATCATTTTCATCAAAACCGTGGCGCTCTTCTTTTTCACATACGTTTCAGTTGCGCCGTTAGACCCGACTGGAAATGCAGAGGGTGCATTGTCATGATTGCTGATGCTGGGGACGCATGGTGATAAGTAGTCATTGAATGCCAGCTGCGTCCGGTGAGCGACACTCCAAAATAGCTTCTGCATGGAGATATATCTGTTTCTTCCACAACGGTTTTGCACGGCCTTTGCCTGGTTATCAAGCGCTGAGAGTTCTTGCAGCGAGCTTTCTACTTTGGCGTTTGTGGCTTCTGTTGTCGGGTTGTTGCGGCTTGCACAATAGTGGGGTGTCCGCCAAACCCGTCTCAAAGCTGTACTTGTTGCGTCGCAGAAGGACTTCTACTTATTCTACTTTGTGCGTTGTAGGACTTTGCACTTCTTCCCACCAGCACGTTGTTGCTCCTCTCCTCCGCACGGGATTCTAATTGTGACCCGGCGCGTGGTTGCTCAGCTTCTCTCCCGACATCACCCCACACCGCAAACTGCACATGACGCAAAGAAATCCAAAGTTCAAAACCGTTGCCAAACGCCTGCTAACCCCCTCCGCGTCCTAACCGACACACGCAGCATCACAAGAACCATGACCCAGCGTGCAACCTACTGTGCGTCCTTCTGCGCGCATGTCCCAAACATCGTTGTGTCGCGGGGGATTCTATCTCTAACCCAGCGAATGGCTGCTCCTCTCCTCTCCCAGCCTGCTGCGCACACGTCGCAAATACCATGTCAGGAAAATTCTAATTATGACCCAGCGCGTGGTTGCTCCTCTCCTCCGCACGGGATTCTAACTGTGACCCGGCGCGTGGCTGCTCAGCTCCTCTCCCGACATCACCCCACACCGCAAACTGCACATGACCCAAAGAAATCCAAAGTTCAAAACCGTTGCCAAACGCCTGCTAACCCCTCCGCGTCCTAACCAACACACGCAGCATCACAAGAATCATGACCCAGCGTGCAACCTACTGTGCGTCCTTCTGCGCGCATGCCCCAAACATCGTTGTGTCGCGGGGGTTCTAACTATGACCCAGCGAATGGCTGCTCCTCTCCTCTCCCAGCCTGCTGCGCACACGTCGCAAACCATGTCAGGAAAATTCTAATTATGACCCAGCACGTGGTTGCTCCTCTCCTCTGACGACAGCACCTCCCAAAGCACACTGCACATAGCCCACGCCCGCTATGCGTCCCTTTGTGCGCATGTCTCAGACACCATTCTGTCGCACGGGATTCTAGTTGTGACGCGGCGCCTGGCTGCTGCTCTCCTCTCTTGACATCACCCTGCGTCGCAAACTGCACATGACCCGCACAAATGCAAAACAGTTGCTGAGCGCCTGGTAACCCCCCCCGCGTCCTAACTGACACATGCAGATTTGCGAAGATCCTGACCCAGCGCGCAACGTACTATGTGTGTGTGTGCTGCGCGCTTGTCCAAGATGCCTTGTCTCGAGGCATTCTAATTATGACCCGGCCATGGCTGCTCTTCTCCTCTCCCGTCCTGCTGCGCACATGTTGCAAACGCCATGTCGCCGGCCGGGGATCCTAATTATGACCCAGCGCGCGGTTGCTCCTCTCCTCTCCCAACATCACCTCCAAAAACAAACTGCACATAGCCCGCGCCTACTGTGCCTTCAACTACGCGCATGCCTCAAACACCTTTGTGTCACAAATGCAAATTCCCTCATTCCCTGTTGATCACCAGCAAGCTAAGCACGATCTGCGGATTCAACGGGAATTCGGCGGTTACACCTTCACATGCGGATTGATCAAAAGCTCCGATTAACATGGGGTGACAATTGGTTGGAAAACCACTAAGAAGAAGATTGATTAGAGGTTGCATTCTTAAAAAGTGGTTAGGTGCCAAGCTCGGGCCTCTGAAAAAGAACAACAATTGTCCACCCATGTCCACCCCTTTGGGCTCTTATTGGTGATGCTAGCACCTTCAAAAATAACCTTGCCCTAACCACCCAGAATTAGACACGTTAAACGAGGAGGTGGCCCAGCCTATCGAAAAAGCTAGGTCCTCCAGTAGAGAGGTTAGAGTATTTGGGTACCAACATTTTTCTGTTTCATGAATTTTAGTAGGATAACCCTCCCAGCCAAAAAAGTAGGTGAGAAAGGGCACCTAGCTGGGGAACCTGGAAATGACCTCACCGTAACCAACCAAAATTAGGCATGTTTAA